CAAGAAACAACCTTTGGAGGATGCATCTTAAGCAAATGTCAATTATATTGAGATCTAAAATAACTACAATAATTCCTTTAGGCCAAAATAGGTCTACTATTATCAAAGAATCCTAATATCATTTTTTGGGATTTTATGAGCCCTTTAATTTCTTGGGCTACAAGGGGGTACAAGGGGTACAAAAGTTAAAGAATGGAGAATATCTTTGGATTTAGCAGACCCATAAAGAAGCTGTTTGCACCAAAATAGGTCTACAGTTATCAAGGAATATTACTGTGATTTTTTTGGATTTTTTTGGAGCCTTTGATTTTTGCTACTTGATGCATATTCATCGCATCTGGGAAAGTATTTTGCATTTTTCTCAATGATTTACTAGTCAATTGTGGAAATAATTATATATTTGGGAAACTATTTTCAAGGACTATCCATATATGTAAAGTGTGTTGAGACCGTGGGAATCAGTGGTGACGGCATTCAAGACAGTGAGGGTGATGGTGCACAGACACACTGGACACACAGCCACAGAGCAATCCCCCGGGGGATTGGTAGGTGGGAAATTCCATAGCGTGAGAATTTAAATGGAAAATTCCGAAAGGGCTATCCCACTGCGGATAGGTCACATGATCTCACTTTCGCGCTTGCTTGCTATCACCACAACACAACTGATCTGTCCACCACACCTGCAATTTTGCGCAAAATCCCTTGAAAATGGTAAGATGCATTGTTCATGTTACTGCCTCTCTAGATCTTCCAAATCTCTCCACAACATGGGTTCTGAGCTTGGATTTTGTGCAATTTGTGTGAAAACACATGTTTTGCCAAAACCTGACCCAGATCATAGTGGATCTGGGTCCAGCTTGATTGTTTCATGTCTGTAGGACATACAAATGCAATCTATCATGTTGGGAGAGGTGTTGGCACTGAGTCAAACCCAGATTTGTTGAGGCAACTTTTTATATATATTTTCCCCAAGTCCTTACTTACATAATCTGTAGGAAATGGAAATGTCCCCTGAATACCAAATTGACTCCCAAAAATACATCAGCAGTGCAGCCCTCCCTGAGGTAGCCCTGGCCCAAGAACAAAGTTTCAACAGGAAGAAGGATGACTCTTGGTTGGGTAAGGTCAAGGTATATTATTTTATTTTTTTCATTTTATTTTTGCTGATGCCCATGGCAATGCAGGTCAGGTTGTCTCAGATGGAGCAGCTCCCTGGCAACCGGGAGGTCCAACCGGAGTTTGTTAAAAAGTATTTGGCAGCATGGGGAATGAATATCAACCGTGACAGACACCCTATGGCTGGCATTCTCACATCAGAGCCAGGCAGTGTGAGGCTGGGGGCTTCAGAATTCTTGCCATCACACCTCAAGGTCTACCTGTGCCATGGTCAGCATAGGAAGCGAGTCCTTGAGAATGCCATCCAGTTGGCTTTGACCAAGGAAACAATGGCAGAGAGTGGAGATGAGGATCCTGAACCGCACGAGTTCCAACTGGAAGAAGTGCATCAGCATAAAGATGGATTTTGGACAATGGATGTCTACCGAAATTGTAAGTTGTGCATCTTTCATCCTGGCCTCCACACAATAATTATTTTCCCCACCACCGAAGCCTTAATGGGGGATTCCATGTTTTTCACCTGGGTACTTCAAGATAATGCCCCTGTGGAAAAGGCTCCAAATCTGTTGCTTGATGATTATGTCAATGCCTATGGAACCTTTGTCAACAGGGACCGAGTCCCGACTGGCCTACAGAGGAGAGCGTGGTGGGCAGGGATGCTTGGGAGCAACAATTCACTGGAGCCTTTGAGGCCTGTGCTTTGTTCAATGGAGATGCTGAGGGTTATGACTCTCATGAGAAAGGTCAAATGGTTCATCCAATACACAAAGTGGTCATTTGTAAGGCATATGGGGGGGGGGGATGCAAAATGTAAGTTGAACATTTTCCCCCCTTTTCTCGTACTCTTCTTGCTCACTCAGTCACTTAGTTCTGGGGGCTGCCTTTGAGATTTGTCTCTGGCACCTAGCCATACTTTGCTCTGATGGTCACATCCTCAGACCTGAGGATGAGAACCAAACGTTCAACAACATCGACGATGACCACCTTCCCCCATCCTGAGGTCTCTCCCAGCTCACATTCTCAAACATGGAAGAGGACCTTGAACATCCCAAAAGGGGCAAAAATGTGATGAAGTGGAGTTGGAGCCAGTTTGAGAGGGTCCAGAAGGTTGGTGGTGAATTGCCTGGGAACTTACTTGAACCCAAGGGAGAAGAGGAGTGGACGATTGAGCCTGGGATGGTAAGCAACATTTTTGACTTGCATAAAATCCCAAGAAATATGCATTCCACCTCAGTTCTACCACCCTGAACATCTGCTCACAAACTCTGAGAGAAGATATGGTAAAAATCTATAGAAGAACCCAGGAAAAGGCATTTGGGGCTGCACCCTGGGGATTTTCTGAGGTTGAAAGAAAGAGAAAAATCAGACGTTTCTATGGGTACTAATCATTTGAAATTTAGTTGAGTGGTTGAAAAGTTATAAGGGTGGACATTTCTGCACGCTGCACCCTTGAGGTGAAGCCTGGATGTTTTGTGAGTGAGTTTTGAGAATTATTGGGGGCAATAGGCATTGCAGGTAGCTGTAGGGGGGATCTACAAAAAGAGGATGTGAATAGCTGGACTAGGTAAGGAGATATGGGAAAAAAAAAATTTAGAGGAAAAAAAGAATAAATAAATTGATAAGTGGAGGAAGAAAATAGGGAAAAATGGGGGGTGTTTTGGAGTGGAATATGGTGAGGAAATAGAGTGGGAAAATATAATTTTATTTGGAATTTTTTGGAGAAATTTTTTTTTGAGGGTGCAGAGGGTGGAACTGAAATAAAAAGTGAAATATGTAGGTGAAGACAATAGATATAAATATGGGGTGTTTTTCAGTGTGATAAATTTGGAGGGTGCACTGGGGTGCAGTGAGGGTGCAAGTTAAAAGTGGATGGATGAAAATGAAAATGGTTGATAGAGTTAGGAAGGTGTGATTTTAGTGAAAATTATAAAAGGAAAAAAAGAGAAGTGGCTGTGGAGTTTTTTTGATAGGAAGAAAGTGGAAGGTGAGAAAGTGGGGAGAAGAGGTTAGAACTGAAGTTGAGAGAAGACGACAATGGGACAATGGGACAACTAGAAGCAAAAATATGGAAAACTGTTGAACTAAAAAAAGTGAGAAGTGAAGTTTGAAGTGTGAGTTTGGAAGCTAAGAAGACAAGGCTGGTGGCAAAAATGCGGAACTGTGGAAGGAAAAAAAGTGGGGACAATCCCGTGGATTCGCCCTCGAAGGGGCTTCGAGGGAAATTCCCACACTTTACTGAATTGATTTTTTGTTCTCACGACCCCTTCGAGGGCATTCCCACGACCCCTTCGAGGGAGTTCCCACGCAACATTTTGAATACTCCCTTCCTTCCCACAGCCCGGTAACTCCCTTCATCACATCACTGAGCAACACACATCGTCCTCACTGTTTCCCACGGCCTACAGAGTTGTGGCTCGGCAATTTCCGATACTCTCGGAATAGGAACTGACAACATTTCTCACGCTACTGGTATTGACCCCGTGACCCCAAACTCAATAGAACGCCCCCAGTGCCGCTAAAAGTGTTGTTATCAGGCTTGTCTTCACGCTTGGTCCTATTGGGTTGGGTTTTGGCAATTTCCAAAACTCTCGGAATATGGACCGGCAACCTTTCCCATCCTATTCCCGTTGATCCCGTGACCCCGGCTTCAGTAGGATTCCCTCGGTGCCGCTAAACATCTTGTTCACAGGTTTGGCCTGTTTATCATGTGCGCAATGGTCTGTTAGTTCTGGTGCTTATGGGTTCCAGGGCTTCTTGATCGAGTAATGCTATCCATTTCACATATTATTTCGTATCTTGTATATTTTTCTTCATATTTTATGTGTACACTATTAATTGCAAAATTATATTTTGCCTCCTTGTTCGCATATTGTACTAGCCATGCCGTATTTCTCATTTCTCATTGCCCACCGGGGGTTGGGTTTGCGTAGTGGGTTGGATTTGCGTGGGGCTGTGGTATGGTGTGCGGGCTATTGAAAAAAAAAAAAACAATCCCATGTAACATTTAGCGTGAAGTGAGACAGCCCCCGCAGCGAAGCGAGGACTGGGGGCTGGGGAACGAGCGGAGTACACGCGAGTAGCACCATCACTGTTGTCATATGCAACACTGTGATCTGCATTCATAATAACGCCCCGTGCCACCATTCCTACTAATTTGAGTGCTGTTCCCTGGTGCTCCCATCTGCACCTGCCCATACCTTCAACATCCCTGCCGTCACCCCAACCGAGCTTGCCCCTGTGACTGCCATCATCACTGTCACCAATGCCGGCAACCCTGTAGATTTCAAGGCCACCCACCTGCTCGCAACGCCTGTGCGCTTGTGGAGCAGAACCCTTGGCACGTACTCATTCAGCTATTATGGCACCTTTACCTTCTACCAGTTGTTTATGACCATACCTTCAGTGCCAACAAGATTTCCATCTAGCTGCGCATTTCGAGGATGCAGCCACTGCCCGCCACAGCAACGATGAACATGGGAGTGCGGTATAAAAGTTCTCGTTCCTTGATCAAGGAATCCGCATTGTTCAGTGTCATCATGGTTCCTGTGTCATTTGCATGTACGTATCTTATTTTACATATCCTCGTTTTCTTGTGGGCGAGGTTCATGGGCTCCGTTTTCGTCATTTCGGCCTCAAATGAGCCTATTTCATCGAGTAAGAAAATAAGAAAAAAATCCTCTTGTTTATTCACATGTTCCTCGAACGTTTTGTGATTTTTCCTGATTTTCACGACAATGTCATTCCGAGTGAGAGTCCAATGGAGCAGCTCGCAATTTGGAGGCTCATGGGAACTCCCCATGCCGAGAAAAAATGGTAGAAATTTCCCCGTGGTTATTTAGATGCTGTTCTGTTATCCAACAATTTTATACGATTTCTATGACTGCAGAGTTCCACGCTAGGGCCTCATGTATATTTTTTCGCTTCAATCCCCTCATTCTCCACCATTTCGTACTCCCACGATGCGTTCTTGGGCTCTAAATGTAGAGTTGATTTAGTAGTTTACACCCCCAAAATTTTGTCCTAGATGGTCGCCTGGTTGAGGAGATATGGGGAGGAAGAAAACTTTTTATGTGTACTCGGGAACTTGTGGACGAAATCCACAACTGCCATTTTGGGTAATGTCGGTGGAAGTTGGAGCCTGGGTGTTGGAAAAAATTGCAAAAATTGCACCGTGCTTATTCGAATCTCATTCTGTTAGTTGAAGATTTTACATTATTTTTTCAACTGCGGATTTCCACACTTGAGCCTCAAGTTCAGGCGTGCACAAGAAATTTGGCGGCATTGAGATGCCAAGGTGAATTGTCATTTTTTATGGGTTCATAAAACAATATTAAATAAGTTTTCCACATGTACAAACTTTGAACCAAAACGGTCCAGTGGTTGTGGAGATAAGGATTTACTTGGGGGGCCATTCGTTGATTCACAACAAGTCTCATAGCCACCGAACCAGAGCTTGGAAGTCGCCAGCCGAAGTGTCCTCATGGTACCAAGGCCATCTTATTCAACGAAGCCATAGGTTCCTAGCTTGTTGGTTCTATGATGACTCTCGGGATTGGGTGCGTCAGTTTTGCCTATGCATCAACCCATCGCATGCTGCTAACGCCTTGAGAGTTTTCGGACTCTTATCAATTGGGTTGGTTTTATATGACGTTGGTCGTTATACAGGAAGTTTGGGTTCAAATTGGCATTGTTGGAAAGCTGGGGGAGAAGGATGGATTGGAGTTGGGTCGACAACTGCTCTGACATATTTTCGCTACTTATTCTGAAGCGTTGAGAATCAATTCCATGCATTTTAAAATACTTGAAACTTGTCCCACTTGCCCTTGTCCCGCTTGCCCCTCGTAGGTTCAGGTTTCTCGATCGAGGCACCTGATTCTTGGTACACATGTACTTTGTAGTCAGCATGTGATATGGAGAAGATCTCGTCATCGTCCTTCCCTTACTCTAATCGAGGGCACCATGGGTTTGGACAAGGTCACGCTCAGCTTCATCCCACTGTCATGCTGGGGACCCACTCATAGCTCTGGGTCCTATGCGAAGTGTAACCTCGTCGAATACAGTGCATGTGAGCTTTCCCACACCCTTCCTTGATCGAGTAACTAAGCATACTTGCAGAGCCGTGACGGTGTTCAGTATCTGAGAAACGTCCCGCATATCTCAATAAAATGGCAACTCTTCGTTATCTCGCTGCCAGTACTGGTGGCGTCGGTGCCGAGGCACTATTACGTCATGATCTTGGGTCACCCTCAGAGTGTGCTGGGGTCCTTCTCGCGTCATTCCTCTCGGTCTTTCTCAATGGACTCCTATGACTCTGATTCCTCATTTGAGGAGATTGAAGAGCAAGAGGATGAGCACAAAGAATTGTAATACTCGCCATCACACTCTATGCATATTGCTGACTTTCTTGTTAGATGTTCAATTTGCGAAGAACGGCTCCTGGACCCCAGTTTACTATATTTGCATCATATGCAAAGACATCCAGACAGTTCATTTGGCTGTCCTCTATGCCAGATTCTGTTCCCTGATCCTGCTGAGGAGTTGGCTCATGCACGTCTCCACCATGTAGTTGTTTCTCTCGGTAAGTCAACTTTCCTGCCTGTTTGGCGCACTTTTGATTATTTTGAAGGCGAGGCAGAGGTACCGCTCATTGGGTCTGATTACAGCTGCCCATTGTGTCCTTCGATTCCCGCCTTGTCCTTATGGCATTTTGGCCTCCATGCCGAGCTACAGCACTCTCAGTCACTCACGCTTCCAGGAGTAGATTCGAGGCTCCCATTGGGCAATGGCCTCACCTATCACCCCCGATTCCAGCTACTTTTGTGTGATGCGACCCGTCAAGCTCTGGATGTCACCCATACTCCCCAAGAACGCCCGTTGTCCAACCACTTGCGTCAGTGTGGCCATCATGACGACTGCGCAATCGATCGCGTTCTGGAGATTGTTTCACGGCACCATATCCCTACACCTAACACCAATACTCGTCTTCCATCTGGTCCCCATCCTATCTTGCCATTCCTTGGAGAACCGGTTCCTGGATATATTTGTCCACACTGTCAACATGGTTTCCCGTCCGTTGGGGCCAAAGGGGGTAAAGATCCATACAAGAGCGTTCGTGAACACTACCAGATCCACCGTTCGACTGTCCCTTGGGACAAGAGCCACGCCCATCCTGTACAGCTCCAGCGATGGTATCCTCCGGA